ATCTATTTATTCATGCACGCACGCACGCGCACACACACACTCTCTCCTCTCACGTTCTCTCTTGTTTTCCCTCGTTCTCTCTCTCGACACCTATCGTTCTCTCATTCACACATACCCTTCCTCCTTCTACCTGCCTCTAAATCACTCGTTCTCTTTCGCTATCTCTCGTTCTCTCTTTCTCTCACACCCTCTTGCTCTCTCTCGTTCTCTCTCGCTCTTTCTCTTTCTCGCTCTCTCATTCTCTCTCGTTCTCTCTCTCTCTCTCTCTATCTATCTATTTATCTCTCTCTCCCTCTCCTTCGCTCTCTCGTTCTCTCGCTTTCTCGCTCTCCCGTTCTCTCTCGCTATCTCGTTCTCTCTACTTCTCTCTTTCTCTTTCTCACTCCCGATGTTTCTCGTTTTCTGTCGGTCTCTCTCCCGTTTTCTTTCGTTTCCTCCCGTTCTCTCTCTCATTTCCCCCCGAAAGTGCGAGAACGACCTGGGAGCCGGGAAAGAAGCGGTGACACACGCGGTCCCGGAGGCAATTCGGTGACAGTGCCAAGGTCAGTGCCACTCCCCCCCCTTCCCCTCTCCCCTGTACCCCCCACCCCCCGCCCCCTCGCTTTTTTTCCTTTTCTCGCATCATTGTGACTTTTTTTTCATTTCTTTTTCTAGGTCTTTTCTTTTAATTTTTATTCTCTCTCTCTCTCTCTCTCTCTCTCTCTCTCTCTCTCTCTCTCTCTCTCTCTCTTAGTTGTTTTTTCTTGTTTCCTTTCTCTTGTTTTTCTTTTGCCTTGTGAAATTATATTTTTCTCTTTGTCTGTCTGTCTTTTTCTCTGTCTGTCTGTTTGTCTATCTGTTTGTTTGTCTTTCTTCATTCTGAAGAATAGAATAGAAGAAACAATTAATACTAAAAGAGATAAGACAAAAAAAACACACGAAAATGAAAGAAAGGAAAGATAACAAATGAAAAAAATGTAATAAAGAGAAAGAGAGGAAAGAGGCAGAAAGAAAGAGAAAGAGAGAAGGAAAGAGAAAATGAGAGAGAGAATCGAGGCAGAGACAGACAGACAGACAGACAGAGAGAGACAGAGAGAGAGAGAGAGAGAGAGAGAGAGAGAGAGAGAGAGAGAGAGAGAGAGAGAGAGAGAGAGAGATAGAGAGAGAGAGAGAGAGAGAGAGAGAGAGAGAGAGAGAGAGAGAGAGAGAGAGAGAGATATTCGGACAGAAAAAAAAAAACAGAGAGAGAGAGACGGAGATAGGCAGACAGACAAAGAGACAGGTAAACAGACAGACAAAAAGAGAAAGAGAGGAACAGAGACAGACAGACAAAGAGAGCGCAAATGAGACAGACAGACAGAGAGATTTGGCTGGCAAGCATTCAAGCATCCTACCCATGACCCAATCCAGTCAGCTGATTGGCGATATCCTAATCCTCTGGCTTGGATGAATGACTGTGCTCGCAAGTGCCAATGTACTCACGGACTCTTAGCACAACGTATATAGCTGGTATGTAAATCCTTTATTGATGATTGATGGATTTGTGAGATACACCAAGTGCTATTAATATTTAATTTTGCTGTCATATTTATGTAGGTTTGTATCATTAATATTTATAAATTTTCATTATTGTTATTGCTGTCTTTATCATTTATTATCATTATCATCATTTCTATTATTATTTTCATTGCTGTCATTTTCATCTTTAATTATATCATTATCATCATCATCATCATTATTATTGTTATTACTATTGTTATCATTATTATTATTATTATTATTATTATTATTATTATTATTATTATCATTATTATCATTATTGTTATTTATTATTATCATTATTATCATTATCATTATCATTATTATTGTTATCATTATCATAATGATTATCATCACTATCATCAATATTTTTATGATTATCATGGTTATGATAAGATTCATCATCATCATGATGATTATAATCATCATCATTATTATTGTCATCATCATTATTATTTGAAATTGTTATTATTATAATTATCATTGCCATTGCTGTCTTTATCCTTATCATTATAATCATTACCGTTATTATCATTATTATTGTTGTTATTATCATTATCATTATTAATATCATTATAATCATCATTTTCAACATCATTATTTTCATTATTATTATCATCATTACTAGTATTATCCTTATAATTATCACCATCACTACTATCTGTATCATTATCACTATCACCATAATTACTGCTACTACTACTGCTATTATCAATATCATTATTCAACTACATTATCATCAATATCAGTACTATTATCATTATTATCGTTATCATTATAATCATTATTATTACTATTATTGCTATTGTTATTATTATCACTATTACTATTATTATCATTTTTATTATTATTATGACTATTATTGTTATTATTATTATTAACGTTTTTGCCAATACTGAGAAACCTATTATAGCAATATATTTAAAGATATATTGTCATTATCTTCAAACCTTCAATGAGAAAGGGTACGAAATGTCTGGAATAATTTTTTGCGTTATTTTATTTTGGTGCAATCACTTCATAGTTATTGTTAAAAGTGCTTTTATCATTGTTTTTCAACTCTCTCTTCCCTGCTCTCTTATCCCCCGCTCTCCCCTCCGATCCTCTCTTCTCTTTTTTTCCCTTTCTTCAACACTTCTTCTTGGGAAACTTGAAGACCATAAGCGTGTTTTTGAACCAGGGGAGCGATGCAGTATCCCGAAGTTTCCTCTCGGCCTCCTCGTCGGCCACTAAGCCCCGTTCTGCCATGCTCGCCTTAATATACTCGTTTTCTCGGGTGTTGACGTGGTGGTGCCCGTCCTGGCCTGGCACTGCCCATGACAGCACGATGCCTGGAAAAGGGAGAGAGGGTGAGAGAGAGGGAGAGAGGGAGAGGAGAAGGAGAGGAGGGGGAGAGGGAGAGGGAGACGGAGAAGGAGAGGAGAGAGAGAGAGAGAGAGGGAGAGGGAGGGGAGAGAGGGAGAGAGAGAGAGAGGAGATAGAGAAGAGAGAGAGAGAGGAGAGGAAGAGAGAGGGTGAGGGAGATGAGAGGAGAGGGAGAGGAGAGGCAGAGGTGAGAGAGAGGGAGAGGCAGAGAAAAAGAGAGAACGAGAGAGAGAGAGAGAGAAGAGAGAACGAGACACACACACAAACACACAAGAAGAAGAAGAAAAAAAAAACATACAATGACAGAAAAAAAATCCCGCAGCCCCGCCCACCACTGCACCAAACCCACCACGATCCCAACCCCCTCCGCAACCCCACCTGTGCAGGCGTGCTTCACCAGATTATCCATGAAGACGCCCTCGAACGCCCTCGGGATGTGCTCCCCGACCTCGAGGCTCAGAACCCAGTCGAACCTCGCGCCCACATCCACGCGGCGGGCGAGGTTCAGCCGGCCGATCCTGCCGCGGCTCAGACGGGCGATGTTGGCCGCGCCGTCCCACCCTTCGGGGAGGGAGGGGGAGGGGAGAGGGGGGGAAGGGGAAGGGAGGGAGGGAGGGAGAGGAGGAGGAGGGGAGGAGGGGAGGGAGGAGGGAGGGAGGGGAGGGGAGAGGAGGGAAGGGGAAGGGAGGGAGGGGGAGGAGGGATGGAGGGAGAGGAGGGGAAGGGGAGGGGAGGGGAGAGGAGGAGGGGAGGGAGGGAGAGGAGGAGGGAGGGGAGGAGGGAAGGGGAAGGGAGGGAGGGGAGGAGGAGGGAGGGGGAGGGGAGAGGAGGGAGGGGAGGGGAGGGAGGGAGAGGAGGAGGGGAGGGAGGGAGGGGGAGGGAGGGAGAGGAGGGAGGGGGAGAGGAGGAGGGAGGGGAGGGAGGGGAGAGAGGAGGGAAGGGGAGGGAGGGAGAGGAGGGGAGGGAGGGGAGGGAGGGGAGAGGAGGAGGGGAAGGGGAGGGAGGGAGGGAGAGGAGGAGGAAGGGAGGAGAGGAGGAGGGAGGGGAGGGGAGGGAGGGGAGGGGAGGGAGGGAGGGGAGGGAGGGAGAGGAGGAGGAAGGGGAGGGGAGGAGGGAGAGGGGAGGGAAGGGGAGGGAGGGGAGGGAGAGGGAGGGGAGGGGAGGAGGGGAGGGAAGGAGGGGAGGGGAGAGGAGGAGGAGGGGAGGGGAGAGGAGGAGGAAGGGAAGGGAGGGAGGGGAGAGGAGGAGGGAGGGAGGGGAGGGAGGGAGAGAGGAGGGAGGGGAGGAGGGGAGGGGAGAGGGGAAGGGAGGGAGGGAGGAGGGGAGGGAAGGGAGGGGAGAGGAGGAGGAGGGAAGGGAAGGGAGGGAGGGAGGGGAGAGGAGGAGGGAAGGAGGGAGGAGAGAAGAGGAGGGGAGGGAGGGGAGGGGGAGGGGAGAGGGGAAGGGAGGGAGGGGAGAGGAGGAGGAAGGGAAGGGAGGGATGGGAGAGGAGAGGGAAGGGGAAGGGAGGGAGGGGAGAGGAGGAGGAAGGGAAGGGAGAGAGGGGAGAGGAGGGAGGGAAGGGGAAGGGAGGGAGGGGAGAGGAGGAGGGAAGGGGAAGGGAGGGAGGGAGAGGAGAGGGAGGAGGGAGGGAAAGGGGAGGAGGAGGGAAGGAAGGGAGGGAGGGAGAGGAGGAGGGAAGGGAAGGGAGGGAGGGGAGAGGAGGAGGGAAGGAAGGGAGGGAGGAGGGAAGGGAGGAGGGAGGAGGGGAAGGGAAGGGGAGGGAGGGGAGAGGAGGAGGGAAGGGGAAGGGAGGGAGGGAGAGGAGGAGGGAAGGGAAAGGAGGGAGGAAGGGAGGGAGGAGGGGAGAGGAGGAGGGAAGGGGAAAGGGAGGGAGGGGAGAGGAGGAGGGAAGGAGGGAGGGAGGGGAGAGGAGGAGGGGAAGGGGAAGGAGGAGGGGAGAGGAGGAGGGGAGGGAGGGGAGAGGAGGAGGGAAGGGGAGGAGAGGAGGGAGAGGAGAGGGAGGAGGGGGGGAGGAGGAGGGGAGAGGAGGAGGGAGGGAGGGAGGAGGAGGAAGGGGAGGGAGGGAGGGGAGGGAGGGGAGAGGAGGAGGAGGGGAGGGGAGGAGGAGGGAAGGGGAGGGGAGAGGGGAGGGAGGGGAAGGAGGAAGGAAGGGAAGGAGGGAAGGGGAGGGGAGAGGAGGGGGGAAGAAGGAGGGAGAGGGAGGAGGGAGGGGGGGAGGGGAGGGAGGGGAGAGGAGGAGAGGAGGAGGAAGGGAGGGAGGGAGGGGAAGGGGAGGGGAGGGGAAGCGGGAGGATGAGAGAGAGGGAGGGAGAGGAGGGAGGGATAAGGAGGGACGAGAGGAGGAAGGGTGGATGAGGATGAAGGAGGGGAGGGGAGGAGGGATGGATGAGAAGGGAGGAGAGGAGGGAAGGGAGGGGAAGGAGGAGGAGGAAGGGGAAGGAGGAGGGGAGGCAAGGGAGGGGAAAGGAGTGGAGAGAGGGGGTGGAGGAGGAAGAAGTAGGGAGGGAGGATGAGAAGGAGGAGAAGGGGGAGAAGGGAGGGGAGGGAGGGGAAGCGAGGGGAGGAGGGAGAAGGAGGTAGCAGGTAAGAAGAATGAGAAGAAAGGTGAAGGTGAAGGAAAAAAACATATCATCATTATCATCATCATAATCATCATCACATCGTTATCATCATTATCATCATCACAAAAGACACCAACAACCACCACATCACCACCACCATCACCTCCACCACCACCATCATAATCCTCCTTCTCATCATCACAAAAAGACAACAACAACCACCACATCATCATCACCACCACCATTGCCATCATCACCATTACCATCATCATCACCATCATCCTCATCACCACCACCACCATCATCATCCTTATCATCATCACGAAAAGACACCAAACACTACCACATCAACACCATCGCTATCATCATCACCATCACATCATTATCATCACAAAAAGACACCAACCACCACCACATCATCACCGTACGAACCTTTCCACGAGCGAACGACCTGCCCTCTACCGGTGAGATTCGCAGCCGCCATTTCCCGCGCGAACTTCCCCGCCATCTCCGCCTTCTCGCCCTCGTCTTCGGTTTCCACAAAGCTCTTGTAACTCCTGAGGAAGCACTGGCCGTAGTGACCGAGACCGGCGCCGAAGTCAGCCACGTTCGCGCCTCCGAACAAGTCCTCCAGCGCCCGGCACAGCTGTGGGGGAGAGGGAGGGGAGGGGGGAGGGAAGAGGGAAGGGAGGAGGGGGATTTAGGAAGAAGGTGAGGGAAAGGGAGAGGGAAGGAAGAAGGGGAAGAGAAGGAAGGAGAGAGGTGGAAGGGAGGAATGGAAAAGGAAGAGAGTGGGGAGGAGAGAGGAGGAAGGAGGAGAGGGGAGGGAGGAGAAAGGGTAGGAATAGGGCAGGCAAGAAAGAGGAAGGGCAGGAGGGAAAGGGGAAAGGAAGAGGGAGGAAAGGAGAGGAAAAGGGATATATATATATATATATATATATATATATATATATATATATATATATATATTATATATATATTGAATATCAAGATGTGACTATCCGCAGGCATGTTTATTTTTTATATTGTTTTATCAGTTTAATGAAGCACGACTTTATTGGATCCTGGACTTATCTGCACGTGTTATATTTTTTATTGGTTCTGAGTGCTATTTATCGCATTATATAATTTCAGTCTATTGGAAACAATCATCGCTTCTTTTTGGTATAGCTCTTTTCATCGTTTATATATCATCAATAAATGTTATGAAAAAACCAGTTACAGTACATAATAACACCAGCATGTGTTAGAATATTTACATTTAGCCCTGCACCCTCTCAAAACCTATTTAGAGAATTATAATGTACTACTCATTCGTACATCAAACTGACACTTGACTACATCCGATCTAATCCAGTTATCACTAGAATCGGAAAAGGAAAGAGAAATAAAAAACAAAAAAGACTAACCCAACCGTCCCAGTGGAAATTCCCGCCACTAAACGCCTTGGAATCGTCCACACAAAAACCACCAGATGGCATCACGTCGAAGGCATTGCAGTAAAGGCGGTCAATGTAGTCAAGAATCTCCTGCTGCACTTTATCCATGCTGTTCTGAAGGCGAAATCAAAGCCAAATTCAGTCAGTGTTGGAAATGAATATCCAGATTGATATTGGAAATAAATTTATTACATGTAAAATGAATTAATTGCGGAATGAATACTCAGTTTACTTAAGGTAAATACCAAATTTGATACAGTAAATGAGTGTCCGTTGTTTACGTTGAAAATATTGAGAACAAAACGATAATTGAACAAAAAATAGCGACGAATGATGACAAACGTCCTATATTACAGTTATTTGTATAGATATAAACCAAAACTTCCCTATATCTACCCAAACGGCCGGTCTGTCCAGATTGGGCGAGGCCCGACCTAATAGATATATGCGGACATGCATATCCACAGAAATAAAAGCATATGTCAATCTATCTGATAGAAGTACACTTCTCTATCCTCTATCCGGGAGATATGCATGTCTAGATGGATAAACGTGTAACAACTTCGGTATATATGCATTTGTGTATATATATATGCATGTCAAGTGAATATTCACCGGGTCGGTCCTCGCATATTGTGAGCAAACCGGTCGCATGTCTGTCCAAAGACACAGACAGAGCCACGCTTACCATTCTCCACATGATGGGGGCGCTCTGGGCGTCAGGAGCGACGTGGCTGTTCCACAGGATCGTCGCCGCTGCAGACAGGACGACCACAGACGACACCAACAACAGCAAAAACTTGCGCTGCATCTGCTTGGATATAACACATTGGTAGGCGTAAATAGCAATAAATATTTACAATTATGTTTAAATATATAGCAATAAATAAATAACTGGCCGTTTGATAGGGTGCATATGCTAAAAAAAAGTAATGATAATGATGAATTGAAATTAAATTTCCGATCATGATGACCGTAATACTGATGATTAAAAGAACAGGAATAACGATAGTGATGATGATGAAAAGGACATGAATAACGATAGTGATGATGATGAAAAGAACAGGAATAACGATAGTGATGAAGATGAAAAGAACAGGAATAACGATAGCGATGATGAGAAGAACAGGAATAACAATAGCGATGATGATAATGATGGTGATGGTGATAAGAAATGAAAATTATAATCTCTACTGATAATAAGCAAAAACACACGAATTAAAAGACAACTTACACTTCAGAACGCACAATTCTGAACTTTCTTGTTATATCGCAAAACGTGAACTGAGGTAAAAGAGCAAGTGTGCGAGAGACTTCAAAGTAATAGCGTACACGTGTTAATGTGCCTGCATGTTATGTGTGTGTGTGTGTGTGTGGAGTACCTAACCCATGCTGCACACATATCTTTTCTCTGATTGGCGAAAGAGCTAGAAATAAAACATTTGTAACTCACATGAAGGCATGAGTCATGTTAAGATGGCGGGAGAGAGAGAGAAAGAGAGGAGAGAGAGAGAGAGAGAGTAGAGGAGAGTGAGAGAGAGAGTGTCAGGTTTTTTTGTGTTTTGCCCTGATTTGGTGGGTGTATGGAGACACAGTTCTGGTTTGGCTGTTTATTGATAGAAGTGGCTGGTAGGTAGCGTGGCGGGGGCTGTCTCCTGCAGTGTAGTTGTGGGCAAAGGAAGCCCAAAGGCGCGTCAAGCATGCGTGGGGAAGCGCCCCCAAGAGGAGGTCTGGTCAGGGCCAAGAGCCCTGGTCAGTGTCCTGCCCTGGGTCAACTGAGCTTTCTTGCGTTGACGAGAGGCTCGAGTATCCCTATTGCTGGGGGACGTGGCTAGGTACTCCTTATTCCTCAGATCGCTCGGCATACGCTACTAACCATCGTCAGTGACGGGCTGGTGCTGGCGTTCTCTGAAATAAGTACACCGAGGCAGAGACAGAGCGAGAGACAGGAGGGCAAACAGGGGAGAGGGAACAGTACGCATGTAGTTCTTGTGCAATTAACGGGTTTCTGCGGGATGATGTGCGCATTTGGCTGCGTGAGTGTGTAGACGAGTTGAGTTAATGAGTGAGAGATATGAAATGAGTGAGTCAGATCATAGCCCACGAGTAGAAAATAGAATGCTGATAGATATTCATTAGCTTTTTAGAGTCATTAGTAAGTAAGGCGAGAGTGAGTAAAAAAGGAATGGTGTGGAAGTTGGAAGAAATAAGCGAAGGGGAAGAGGAGTGGGTGGGCGGGAGGCTAAGGTAAAAGAGGTATGGGTGAGGATGGAGGGGGGAGTCAGGTATGTAGACGGGGACGGGAATGTAAGCTGCATGCGATGAAATTAATTACCGATCTGACTGCACGTAAAAACAACATTCACACTAATAACAATGAACTTACGGTAATTACAATATTAATCAACTACTATGCGAAAACATACAAAATGGTACTTTAATTAGTACGTAAAATGAATGAAATGGTGACTGGTTTGGGTCAGCTTCCCTGAGACAACTGACAGCCAAATGACAACCCTCGGGATTGTAAATGATACTTAAAATAAATTCCCTGAGGAAAGTGATGATATGATGACCCAACCGTAGAAGGGACATATCATCCAACTCATACGCCGAACACAAATGGGTACCCGTCTTCTTGGGGAATACCAGTGATAATCTCACGTATAGCGATAAGAAGGCGCAACGCGGCGCTGAGATCACCTAGGCGATAAGTGTGCGGCTTGGCACATAAGAACAACTTAACATTAATTACCTTAACCTAATTACATGTCCATACCCAGCCGGGGGTCGTCACCAAGGACCATGTAATAATGATGAGATGAAGTTCGTGATTAAGATAAGCGAAAATCACGAACAATATGATATTGTAGTAGCTGTGTATAATATAATTAATCTCTAACACGGAGATCACTGAATAAGATATAAATATAAATGGCTTTGTATTTTTGGGTCAAGCATGGCCAGATGGCTATAAGTACCTTCTACCTGAGTAAGGTCAAATGAGGTCGTTATCCGAACATTCGCTAAAAATAGCAAGAGCTAGTATATGTAAAATTAAATGATATTGTGAAAAAAAACAAGTACACAATAATTTAGAAATAAAATAATCAAATAACCAATAAATGAACATGAATAATTAAAAAATAAAATATATCTATAAATAAGGCGAACATTTCAGAAAAAAATTGGAACAATGCGAAATAGCACTAAGGTCATAAAAGGTGAGATATGACAATTTTCTTTACAAGACCTGACTTTAAATGACGTGAACAGCTATGTGTGAAGTCACTCGCACTATAAAACGAATATAAAACTTTATACTTAAAAATACTAAAGTTAATATTCATATAAACATACAAATGAACAAGGCACACTCTTTTGTATAATTATAGATTCGAAAAGAAAAAAAAAATAAAACGTTCGAAGCTTAACTCTAGGATAATATTAGATAATTAACTTAGGAATCACAAAGACAGAAAGGGTCATTAAGACTGGCAACTCAGCTACCAAAATTAATGCATTCTTTTAAAAGAAATATTATCACATCGAAAAATAATTGAATGCTATTGACCTGAACAGAAATATTGAAAATAGGTAGAGACGGAGGGGGGATTAACGGGGGGGGGGGGGTTAGGAGGGAGATGTGGGTAGGTGGGAAGCGTGGGGGAAATGTTTGTTTGTGCATAATTCAACTAAATTATTTAAATATTCAAATATATCCCACAAATGCATTGGTAAACCGAGCCGAAATAAATGCACTTAATAATAATTTACGAAATTAATGTCGATGTAGCGTCGGTTAATGGAGTGAGAGATAATGAGAATAAAAAAAAAAAAAATGTCGAGGCTATGGCAATGCATAGGACTAGTCACATGACCTAGAATGTCCGTAGAAATAGATAATAATCTGGAGAAAATGCACGATCTATTTCTCCCACATGAATAAAAGATTTAAACATAATAAGCGATTTATGCTAATTAGGCTAGCGTGATTGAATTAGATTTAGGGAGAAAACACGTCAAAGAAAGAAAATGCACTCTCGCAAGTGATACAAATGGGGATTGATTCCCTTAAAAAAAAGCGACGATCTACCATTGACAGAAAAAAAAAACATAGTAGATAACAGAAAGAAGGAAAGAAAATGCACTTTGCACGAACACTTGTTTAAATATTTGAAAAAAAAGTCACTGCACTTGTAAAAAAAAATGCACGGCATGCACACATGGTAGAAGAAGAAAAGGGAAGAAAGGAAATGATTGCCAATGGTATACTTAGTTTTTTCGGAGGCTTGTTGTTCGTGTCATTCCGCCGCTTGCCACCAGTTGTCAGGGTTTTGTGTGTTTTGCCCTGATTTGGTGGGTGTATGGAGATACATTTCTGGTTTGGCTGTTTATTGATAGAAGTGGCTGGTAGATAGCGTGGCGCGGGCTGTCTCGTACAGTGCAGTTGTGGGCAAAGGAAGCCCAAAGGCGCGTCGAGCGTGAGCGCGCGTGGAGGAGCGCCCCCAAGAGGAGGTCTGGTCAGGGCCAAGAGCCCTGGTCAGTGTCCTGCCCTGGGTCAACTGAGCTTTCTTGCGTTGACGAGAGGCTCGGGTATCCCTATTGCTGGGGGACGTGGCTAGGTACTCCTCATTCCTCAGAGAGAGAGAGTAGAGGAGAGTGAGAGAGAGAGACAGGCAGACACAGACAGACAGACAGATAGACACAGTCAGATGGACAGAGAGGAAAAGGCAAGATAGAGACAGACAATGAGAAAGGAGGAAATTAAAGGGAAACTAATGAACATAAGATAATCATCAAAAATAATCTACTTTTCAAAACGCAAAAATAAACATCAAACAACAATAATACTAACTAATAATGATAATAATAATAATAATAATTAACAATAATAAAACGACTGAATGTTTATATATAATATATATATATATATATATATATTATATAATATAATAGTATATATATATATATATACATATAAATATAAGAAACAGAGAGAGAGACAGAGACAAGAACCAGAGAGAGAGAGCAGTAGTAAGTAAAGGAAAAGAGAGGGTAAAGGCAGTTAAGTCAGACAGACAGAAAAGGGTTGTCTAAGCCCGAGCGAATTC